CCCTTCCAACCCAAACCAGTCTAGGATTCTAGGATTCAGTGATCTGTTCTTCATGTATATGTGATGTTCCCATTGAGTCCGCAGTCTGCTCATGCAGTGGAAAATAAAGCCCTGCTTCTTCTAGGAGGACAGCTAATGTCTAAGAAACTACTTGAAGTCATATGATAGGAGTCCTGTATTAAAAAATAAATATTATGAAGATGAATATGAAAACTGAACTGTTTTTCTGCTATTCCATTCTCATTCAGTGTGACAGTGGTCTTTTTTTGTTACTGCATAATCACATATGAAGTATTGCTGTTGATGCATTCATATTTACTGTTTTGATTAATCCTAAATTCATTAATATGAAAAGGTGATTTGCTCTGCAGAGATTAGTTAATGGCTGTTGTTTATAGCAGTTCTGAACGTGTTTGTAAAAACAGCCTTTTGTAGCAGGCTGTTAATTCTTAAAAAGATGTTCCTGTATCTCCTACTGTGTATACAGAAGGGGAGACTCTAGTCTATTGAACCATAATAACAGGATCTAATCTTAAATAAATTTCTTACTATTTTTCATGTTGGGTGGAGTAACACTCCTAGCTTTGTCTTCTGTAGCACTTTGCTGAAGTCTTGCTTCCAATGACTCTGCTTTTTCAGGTGAAAATACTGACCCAGAATGAGAATAGCAAACTGCAAGCTGCTCTTGTTAGCAATCTGAAGAGTGCAGTCACAGCAGCCTTTCTCATGTTACCAGAAAGTTTCTCTGAAGAAGACCTCTATATGCAGATTGCAGGACTCTCCTATTCTGGTTAGTATATGATGTCTGAAGTCGCTGAGGAGAAAAGCTGTAGTTGGAGCTGTGGTACCACGGTAGGAAGTCTAATGTATAATAAGTCATCTGCTCTCTTGCTTTGGGCCTACACTGCTGCATGCTCCAACAACTGCATTGTGAGATAATGGGAGTTATTTTCTGTTTGTGTGGATTGTATTTTGGTTTTAATGGTTCCAAACCTTGGAAAAAAAATTTCTTTCCACTCTCAATGTAAAGTTGATTCATCTGATAGACTGACCTCTACTTTATCTCTTACTTTTTCAGTGTGCTGTATTTGAGGTTCTTATTTAGTTAACTTAAAGATCCAGATTATGATTCTTCAATGTATGTTGAACACTCACCTCCTGGTTGGTATTTGTTGACTTTTTTTTTTGGTAAGAGAAATTCCTCTTTTCTTTGGTTATGGAATTGGTATGGAAAAAAAAAATAAAGTAATTATTCCAAATTACTTTTCAATACAAGATTTAATGGTAACAATTTAATTCAGCATTACTCTTTAAATGTTGATATCCTTAATGAAATCACTGTGAACAGGTTTACTTTGAGTTGTACTTTACACAGCACTTTCTTTGCTCATATAGAAATGCAAATTCAGCTTTTAAAAAAAGCACAGGTAAGTTTTATAAGCTGCAGCTTAATTCTGCTGAGGAGTGTTACTGTTCTTTACATAGTATTTCTCTGCTCAGTATAAATTGCAATGTGTTCACCTTTTCCGTAGCAGTTTTTTCTGAATCGTTATCTGTTTGAAAGCGACAGTAAAGTGAAGAGGGTACTGGCGGTGGGATGGCCAAGGGCTGCTAAGCAGGGGTGTTTGCTGCAGGGCTGCATACCTGCCCACCTGAAACTTGTCCAGGAATGTTGTTAGATTCTTGGTGAGCACTAGTGACCAAGGTACTGTTTTTATATATCCTTTGAAACAGTGCAATTAACCAAAAATGTGGGAGATCAGTTACCATGCTGTAAGATGTTGAAATTGGCTCTGCTGTGTGAACAAAGCTAAACAATAAGACTCCCAGTTGGGAATGTTCAAGAAAATGGCTGTCAATTACATGTTTGTGGATATTCTGTTTTGCTGCCCTTTGAAGTCTTACTTTTCAGAAGATAGACTAGTAGACAAAATTGATTTTATGTGTTACTTTCATCGGTCCCCTTGGAGACTGCTGAAGAGTTGTTCATGCTTTAATTTGGAAAATGTTTATCCTTTTTTTTTTTTATGCCTTATTTTGAGAGCAGTGATCAATACCATTTGTATGGGAAGTATTTGTTTTGTGGCTTGACATAAATTGAAATAAACTAAGTAATGCTAGCAAGTTGCCACCTTGCAACAACATGTATCTCCTGAATGCAGGAAGTGGGGAAAATTAATTGATCCAGGATTTTGTTTGTTGATTATGTACTGCGCTGGGCCTCTAACTCCCAGTTGGTAATCCTGGGAGCTCCCACTGTAGTACCTAACAGAGGTAGATGAATGTTTTTTTACAGACTAACTGTCTTTTCACTTACTCTCTTTGAAACTTTTCAGTCGTGTATCATAAAAGAAAGTGTAAGTAATGTAACAGTGGCGTTAAAAGGAGTTGCTTTTTGAAATTACTGACAAAATACATGGCTAAGAGGAAAAGATGGTACTGTGATCTTACCATGACTGCCATTAGCTGTACTTCAGGTACTACACTTGAAGTGCAGAGACAATGCAAATTATTTTCTTTCAGTGTTGGAAAATTGAAGATTCTTTATTTCAAGATACAAAGTATTGGGGCTGGACAATCTGTTCAGTAATCTGTTGAAACTGATGTGTGGTTGCAAAGAATAGAATGATGTTACTGCCGCTTTCAGGGCTGAACTTGACAGCTGGAATTTTTTTGTTGTCCAAGTGAAAATGTGGACACATGAGTTGATGACATTACATCAGAGGCCACATAACAATTCTGTATAGCTTTTTCTGTGTTTGAAGGTATTGGAATAGTATTTTTTTATTATTAAGAGGTGAACCTTATTGTAGATTATATAGGCATTGGTGGAATTTGAGAATAAAGTTTTAGATGGCAGCTTTGTACAGTGTTGGTTTCTGTTACATTCTCCCTTCTTTGAGTTTTCCATTTTTTCCTAATGAATTAACTGTTTTTCTTTTCTTGACCAGGTGATTTCAGAATGGTAATAGGAGAAGACAGGTCGAAAGTGCAGAACATTGTGAAACCTAATGTTCCCCATTTTCAGAAGCTGTACAGTAACATATTACAGGACTGCCCTCAAGTGGTATATAAGCACCATCTGGGAAGGCTAGAGGCAAGTGTTCTTCAAAACATTTTTAAAACAAGCAAGTGGAAGTGCTTTATCACATTGACAGAAGGCAAGAATTATGCCGTACACTAAGGCAAGCAGTTGTAATCACTGTACTTGCTATTTGTTATATTTCTGTTGTTTAGTTAATTCTGCAGCCAGAAGACTTGCCTTAAATACCAGTCTGCATATGTAGTAACTACTGTTCATTTTCTTTGAGTATGGGCACAGAACTAGAGCCCTAGCAAGGGAACAAGAGAAGATTATTTTAAAATGTGTGTTCTAATGACTACCATATGGAAACAACAGTCTAGAAGTGATGAATAAACATATGGTTTGTGTTAAAAAGATTAGGCCGTAACTTAGAGGTGCAACTTTCTGCAATCAAAAACTGCATCTCTCAAAAAACCGCTAGAGTGCTAGTTACAAAGATCAGTTGACTAAACCCAAATGAAATTCTGGCATTATCTTTAAATACCCATACTAAAACAATTTTTTCCTAGTATTTGGGAAGCAGGTATCCAAAATGACCGGTATCTTGAATTCTATCTTTCTGGCATAAGGTAGAAATGTAACATTGCAGTTAGGGGAGAGATGCCACAGTCCAGGTCCAACAGCAGTTTTTCCTCTTGTAGCATAGAGGTCTGTGTGTGAATATCCAAGTGTGATATACACTTAAATGTGAAGTTAGAAATAGCATGGGTTGTCTCATGGACATGGACATCTCTTTATCCTCAAGTCATCTTGGTAATTATCTCATGAATGCCTCCTTTTAGAATGTATCTTTGTTAGAAACTGAAGTACAGATATAAGCAAGCTTGAGTATAGTAAACAATTTTACTGCAATGCTTTGGAGTACAGCGTGGGCGAATCTGTATTACACTGCAGCTGTCTCCATTTTTTCTTACCAGTGTGCTTTTGAACAGTTTAGTGGAAGAAGTATTTAAATGAATTTTGAAAAGAATCAGTAATGCTTTCTCCAAAAAAATGGCTAGTTAGAATAATGTTCCCTGTTGTGTTGCCTTTAAACAAATCCTGGTAGCGTACTACAAATATGTTGTTGGATAATAAATCTGTCCATAATTCCATAATAGTCCTCGAGGTTGTTGATTAAATGCCATCATTTTACTGTTCATTTTGAGCAAAGTGCTCTAATACTTTCTTCCTCACAGCTTGGTCTGGTTATTGGCAGTTACTCTCCAGACTGACGAGGATAACTGCTATCGGGAGTGCTGTTTAATGCAGAACAGAAACCCCTTCTCCAAGTATACATTTTCGGAGTTAGAAAATTCTTTCTTAAAAGATTCCTCAAAAACAATTGAAGGCAGACACTAGTTCTTACAGTTCTGGTTCAGGCGCGGATTCCTCCCACATACTGTTAAGAGCCTGCTCATTGTCGGCTCCCTCTGTAGTCAGTGGGTGATTCATCTGGATATCATTTTCTCCCCATTGACTAAAGGGTGTGTGTGTACAGGGCAACTAGACTCCTGTCTGATGTCTCCATGAACTGTCTAAAAAGTTGTGTGGGAGGAATCGAGTTCTTCATATTTTCCTCCAGTTTTGGAGAGATGTGCTCCGTTATGCATTTTTCAGTGTATGTGCTTACATTTTGTATGAATGCGTACAGGCATGCATGTTGGTATCATTGTATTCAAAAAAGGGTCATTGAATTTCTGATTTAGATTGTAAAATGTGGAACGAATGTTTCCTTCAAATTATGCAAACCAGATGTGGTTTGAGTTTAAAGCAGAGAAAATGTTTTTCAAACTGAACTTGAAATAAGTGTGTGTATAGTTTGATTATATTCAGGCAGAAGAAACTGAGCTAAGTGATCTTTTGGGAACTGTTTTTTCTTTTTTTATTGTAGTGTACTTATGTTTCCAAAGGAAATTGGAGAGAGCAAAAATGATACAGTTTCAATGAACAGTTGCTTGCAGCGGCAGCAAGATCATGTGCGTACATTAGTCTTCCCTTGGATAAAAATTAACATCTTTGCATCAAGTTATTCTTCAGGTTCAGAGCTGAGATACTGCCTTTCCCAGTGCTTGGGAAGTTTTCATTAGTATTGCAAATGACTTTTACCAGTGAAATGGTTCATGTTCTTCGTGGTGCTTATCAGTGGTCAAAGATAGCCGGAAGAGTTTTCTGACTTCTTTGAAAAAGAGAACTTGCTTTATTAACACTGAATGTTTTTACTGTCTTATTTCTTATAACTTTCAGATTGATAAAAGTCCAGAAGGTCAATTTACACAACTAATGGCTTTGCCAAGGACTCTGCAACAAAAGATAACTTCTCTGGTAGACCCTCCTGGAAAAAACAGAGATGTGGAAGAAATCTTACTGCAAGTTGCCCATGACCCTGACTGCGGATTTGTGGTGCATCAGGGTAGGTCTAGATCAGTGGCTGTAATCTCATTTAAGACATGATAGATATACAGGCCTATTGTACTATTGTACCTGTTCTTCAAGTTCAGAAGGATGATTTAGAGAGAAGGAAGATGAAGACAAGAGGTTAGTCTTGAGATACAGTCCTAAAAGTATGATTTGATTGCAAACAGCTTCTCTGAAATACTAGCAAATAGCATTCCTACTGATATTGAAAGATGTGTTTTGGTTTAGATTCTAAAAAAAAGTAGGTCTAAGCAGGCCACACTAGTTCTTAAAGACGTGTAACTCCATTTGGGATGCTTTCACCTTCAGGATTTTATTGGCTGGCATAACTTCATCTAAATACTAATCTCTATATCCTACGAGTCATACATCACAATGCTAAGTTAATGCTCTAGTTTGCTGGCATTACCTTTCCCAGTTTTCATAGTTAGTCCAGATACCTGAGCTTCTGCAGAGAACTCTGGCTTTGAGGAAACAGATTGAGGTGTTTCATCATCAAAGAGAGCGTCTCTGAGGCAAGATAATGTTGTCTGAGCAAGGTAAACCTTATGATGCAGACATCAATGTTTTATTATTCTGCAGAAAAATGAAAGCATGTAGTACTTGAAGAGTCCTTTACGTCTTTGAAGAACTTGACACATCTTAGTTCCAGGTGGCCAATTTTGCAAGCTCCTGGAGCACAGCAAAAACTCCCTGGATGCCCAGGAGCCACTAGACATTAGCCAAATGCTGAGGGAGTGCTTCTGCCAATTTCTGTTCGGGGGAAAAAAAACTCCTGAGACTTGCAGTTCTCCACTGACAGTATCGGATGAATTGCACCTGGACATCGAGGTGTCCATCTTTCATGTCAGTCTGTGGCAGCTTCTGTGCTGCTATGGCTGCACTGCAACAGTAATGTGATGATAGCTGAATCTGGGAGCAGGAGTTGCAATGGTTGTGAGGTGCACATAGTTTTAGAGCTCGAAGTTGTCCACCCTGAGCTAACTGTCCTTGCGGTTCTGATTATGTAGGGTGTTGCAAGCATGGCTGGGACTGCACACAGTGGGGCAGCAGTTCAGTATCAAAACATTGGATAGATCCATTCTTCTCAAGCCAACCAGTTTACACTCTTAGGAGAAGAAATTAAAGCCCCTTTTTCACTTCCGTGGCCAAAAGATTTTCCTAATTCAAGTATCTGAGTAAAGGACAGGGCAAGCTATTTGGTAATCGTACGAGACAAAGCTGATTACTCAAGTCGAATTGCATTCTCCCTAGGTATTTTACTAGCTCAACATGATTTGTTCCCTTCCCTGCCCCGCCCGTACCCCCCCAAATTATTTTCCAGTGGAATACTGTATCCCTCTTACTTGTTCATGGATTTCCCTAAGCTTTGTTCTTCATTATAGAAGTAGCTTTGAAAGAAGGATTTAAAAATAGTATTTTAAATTATATTCTACATTCTGGTTAATGCAGAAGAATAACTTAGAGTTTGGAAGACTACCTCTGGGACTGCTGCATTGCTGCATTTTTAAGTATTTAGTAATGTACAGTGGTTTTGTTCTGTATGTATCAGTATGCTTTTATATATATGTGTTAAAACAGATAAACCATTTATTGAAATGTACTAACATTTTACATACTATTCCATTAATCCCTAAGAATCGCTGGTCAGTGAGAACTAAATGTGGCACAATGCAAAGTGGTAAACCAGCCTTATTTCCAAAAGCTGATAATTTAAAAAAGCCAGAAAAAACACCGCACAAGATGGGCATCTCTACTTGATCAGAGAAGTGCAAAATCCCAATTTCATACTGAAGTAAACAATGAGTATAATTTGTTCTGCTCTAGAAAGTTAATATGCCGGCACTTAAATGAAACAACTCTGGATCCTTTGTGACTAATCGTCTTAGTAGAGAAATAATGGGAACACTAAATGAATTAATTTGATCAATTCCTACTGGTTGTTACCTGTTTTAATATTGATTTGAGGGTTTTTTTATGTTTTATATAAATAATGTAAAATAGCTTAGAGAATATTTTCAGTTAGTATGACAAAGCAGAACAGAAACAAACTTTCTCGACTTAAATGTATGTTTTAATTGCAGGCTGGCTTGATTGTATAACTGGAAAAATATTTAACTTTTTTTGTGCATGTTGAAGGATAAAAAAAATCCCCACCAGACTTCTGGGATGGGTAACATCTGTGTGCTTTTCTATCTGCAGGCATTTCGGGAATTGTGAGATCTTCCAGTATAGTGCAGAGTGCTAAAACCATACTAACAGCTGGTAAGAATGTGTGTGATTTCTATCAACATAGGCCTTCTGATTTCACAAAGTAAAAATTATAGGGCCCCAAGCCTGTCTTGTTACAAGAGTTTAAAGAATAAACTTTGTGGGTGTCTAATTGAAAGCCCCATGTAACTATTGAGAAATTGTAAAATGCGAAAAGGAATTGGAGCCGATGTGACTCTTACACAAACAAGTAAGCAAACCCCCCAACAACCCAAAAGTAACAGAAAACCAACTTCTGACTTCAGTTTCCATTTATACGCGGGCCAGATTTGGTGGCTGTGCACTAGTTCTGCTCTTTTTGTATTAAAAAATGGAGTTACTTTATAATTCACTCTGGCTTTCTACATGTGAGCGGATCCCTAAATGATCAGTACATAGTGGTGTGTTACATTAGTCTATAAGGTTATTTCATCATAAAATAAAGGAGTGAGTGAGTTTTGAGGGAGAACTTTGACAGGATCCAATGTTTTTGTCAGGCTTGGAAAACAGGTGTTTATTTGAAGACATCACGTATTCCAAACTGAACCTATACTTGGTGAACATCAGATATTACTGTAACTCTCATACTTCAAAATTAATTACTCTAAGAAAAGAGTTGAGTATTACAAAGTCAGTGTGAGAGAAGGTGTAGAAGGGGAAAAAAGGACTTGCTTGTGTAGAAACATGGGAAAACTAGGGATGCTTTTCAGCTATCAAAGCCTTCTTAACTGAATGAAAGTTACTGCCAGTTACAAAGCTGGAGCTTTATCCAGTTTTCTGAGTTCTAAAATAAATCTGACTTTAAGGTGCCCTGATGTTTGCATTTTAAAAAGCTGAAAGCACTGCGGTTGAGTTTAAAAGACAAACTTAAGACCTGAGCCTTCATTTACTTAAAACTGATCAGGAGGTAGTCTTAATTTCCTGCAAAGTGAAAAATCCTCACTGCTTGCATGAAGCTGCTGAAATAATTTTCTGAACTCATTCATACCTATTCCTAATTCTTCCACAAAAGCAATTATGAACAAATGATGCTATTACTGGTTTTAAAAGCAGCT